TTAGAGAGGGACATCATGCTGGGTAGAGTGGAGGGACAGCGCAGGAGGGGAAGACCCTCTATGAGGTGGATTGATTCAGTGACTGGGGTACTCGGGATGGGTTTGTCAGAGGCAATGAGATTGGCACAGGATAGAGCACGGTTTAGGGCTGTTGTACATAGTGTTGCTATGAGTAGCAAACGACTCGACGGCACATAACAACAACATAAAACTATGAGCACTTTGAAAATAAGACTGTTTTATTTCTCTTTGTGTGTAGCAGAGTGCAGGGCACACACAAAACATTCAATATGTATTTGTTAAATGAGTAAAAGAGTGTACAAATGAATAAATGAATTATGAGCAATATGCTTATCTAAAATGGAACCTCATTTTTCACAGCCTAGTTAGTACCTGAGGATCAGCCTGTCAAAGTATAATATTCAGATTACCTGCTGCAGAGTCATGCGGGCTGCTTATTCAAGTGCAGAGGCACGTCCACTCTGCACCTATTCAGTTGAGACCTGTAAGGAGATAGCCTACAAATCTCAATTTTAGAGAACTGTCTAGATGATTATGATACTTACTAACCTTTTAGAATAAATATCCTTACTCCATTTGCAGACTTTATGGTGTTCAGTGACCCTATCAAGAAGATACGTTCTAAAAAATAAAAAAGATACGTTCTCTAGTTTTCTTCAATGTGTATCAAGCCAATCTTTAGTGAATATGTTGTACTTTGAGGATTCTTCAGGACTTGAAATACATTTAGCATTACGCTGATGCCACCAAACAAGATCAAAGACATTTCCATTTCCATCTGCTCTCTGGGAAAGAGAAAGGCTGATGGCTTGGCTAAGTGTAGGCCCACTTGTGAAGTGGCAGGCAGGGGGCATACCTGCTCCTTGTCTCACCTAGAAAGCTGTGCTGGTGGAGTGAAATACATGTCTTCATTTTGAATTTGCCATACTGATGCATAAAAAAAAATAGCATCTCATTAATGTTTTCATTTCAATTTCGTCGATTACAAGTGTGCCTGAGGTTTCTAACTAAATGTGATTATAGTAGAAAAACAGATGCCAGGGTTAATTGATGGAAGTTGGCTTTTTCCTCTGTGGTCAAGTCAAATACAACTTGAAGCGACCTATTGACCCTTGTATAAGATAGAGCTGCCTCATGGAGTTCCCTAGGCTGAGAGCAGATCATCAGGGGAGATGTGTGTGTGTGTTTGTGTTTTATGGAGTTTCAGGGTTTGAACCACAGACCTTTCCATCAGCAACCAAATTCTTAAACCATTTTGTCACCAGGGCTTAGGATCCATTATTCATGTAACTACAGAGCCACTCCTCATTTTGATACATTTCTCAGAAAATTATATACCTTAAAAATGAGGGTATTTATTCCATCTGGCAATAGTAGTGAAAATGTATTAGTTGCAAATGAAAGATGTAAGAAAGGAGAGAAGTGATATAGATTCACTTTCTTTCTCATGAAGGCAAGAATGTGTTTTGTTACTGATTTCCTCATAAATCTCTCTGAACTTCAGTCTTCCCACCTGTAAGATCAGCAAAAATAAGACTCCTGATGCTGGGAAGGATTTCAGAGAATCCTTGACAGATGCTAGCCCTGAGACATTCTCAAAGAATGTTCTGGCATGTCCTGCCAAGGACATTTGAATGGAGTGTTCATCTTCTAACATCAGGCCCAGGTTTGTAGATTTCCAGGTATCTTGTTGGCTATGTGAAAGTGCAGCAAGGGCAGCATGGGGACAGCTGAATATGACTTCTGATAACTCCATAAGGGAACTGACCCCATGAGCAACATTCACGGTATAAAATTGATAAACTGCCCTATAAAGTCAGACATGCTCTCCTGCATGCCTACAACTACTTCTACTAATTAATTAATTAATGGGTCTGAATAGTCAATGCACTGACCAGACAGACTTTACATTACATTGTGGAGTTTATTAGGGAAACAAGTTGGTGAAAAGAGGCAAAGGATATCACATAGTGAAAGTCCAGGTCTAGTAATTAGAAGTCCCAAGCCAGGCTAACAGCAAGACTCTCAATTAGTTCAGACAAGTTATCAATCAACAGCTAGACACAGTCCATCAATTAATACAGGCCACTTCTAAGTCAACTGCAAGATAACCTTTGGTGCGAGAACCTCTGGCCTCAAATGATGCATGCTACTATTTCTGCTTCTTCACATGCTACTATTTCTGCTTCTTTTTCTTTTCTGGTGTGGAGAGTCTTGTCTCAAAGTTTCCAGATCTGACTCCATTTGGCCCCCTCAGGTTAAGCCTTGCCACAGTCTTTCCACAGTCTGGTTCACTTCCTCTCATATATTGGTCTAACAGATTTTGATGATGTGGAAGATGCTGGTCCAAAGTTGAGGCAGCTGAAGACCACATCCCTAAAGGGTGACAGGTGGAGTCTCAAAAATTTGTTTTACTTATACCTTCATGTCTGGCCATGTCGTCAATAAGAAGTAATTTGGAATTTTCTCCAAGATGATTTGTTAAGGGGAAAACTTGTGGAATGAAGTATATAAGCAGAACCTTTGTGTTAAAAATATGCATTTATGTCTACGGTGGATAGAATATTTTTAGAAGAATATACAAGAAATTGGTAATGGGGCAAAGGACATGAGGGAAGTTGGGTACTACATGGTTTTCTGAATCTCAAAGTAGACATTTATCTTCAATCCTTTCCTCTTTTCTCTCTGCTCTTTTTGGCTTTCCATTGTTGGTCTAATGAGAGTTCCTGTCAACTCTACCTCTTCTTGTTAAGATACATCTACCTTTATCTTTCCTCACTCTGTTACTCAAGCCACTGTATTCCTCTCCAAGGCCAATGAAAGAGCAGTTTGCTTCTTTCATTCCTACACTTTGTCCATCCATTCTCCATCCAGGAGCAAGTGTGATCCATTAGAAACAATATCCCTCATCCTGTGGTTTTCTCACAATTTAGAAAGCTAGAAGTCTTAAACCAAGCATCACTTCTTGAGGAAGCGTGGATGCCAGTGAAAGTTTACTTTCTCTGTAGGTACTGGGAGAGATCCTTTCAATGAGGGCTTGGTAGTCCTTGGAAGTCTCCATGTATCTTGATATTAATATTCCCCTAGGTTAAGGAAGTTCTCAGTGCAGAGACCCTGGGCCCAAAAGATATATTCTGTTCCTGGATTTTCTCTGTTGGGAGGGTAAGGAATTCTGATCTCTACATATTTGTTTCTCTTTCTCTGAATTAAGCACAGAATTTTTCAGAGAAGGTGTTAGTCATGGCCTACTCTTGGTTCTTTCTAATTCATTCTATTAATTTGTAGAATTCACTTATTCACTCTCTTGTTCCTACAATGCATTATTATGGAAGCACTCATGCAGATTCTGGATCAAAATCTCTTGCCAAGACGTTGTCAAAGTCAGGTTCCTAGGATGCCACTTCGGAATGGAAGCTATACACACAGGAGATTTACCCAGCTACCACCCTTGTGAGTGTATGGAGCAGGCCTGGAAAATGAGGAGCTTAACAACAATTCTGTGATAGTATGGGACTCAGTTGATTCTACAGGGGAGCTCTAGCACTGAATAATTCTCCAGAGTTGTTTTGAAGCAAGCAGGTGAACTATCATATTCCATATTGACTTTTTGTTGGATACATATGGAAGAACATGTGATTTTAAAGCAGATGCTCACTTCAGTGGAAGAAATTCTGAGCTGCTTACATTTCTAGCAGCTGGGGGAGTAGATGTACCAGTACCCAAGGCAGAATCAGTACAGAGCGCTGCATACTTCTTTAACTAACCTTGACCTTGTAGAAATCATAGTTCCTATCTTACACTTGTGGTTATAGGTAGCCTGGGTTTTAGCTCCAGCACAGTTAGTTTCCAAGTGGTCCCTAGACAAGTCCTTCCCCTGAAATGGAGGAATTTTTTAAAAACTATCACATTTCCTCACCACTGGGTATAGAACATTTTGCACAATTGAGGAGTGCCTTAAAGAAAGCAAAAGAAGTGCACTAAATGCAACAGAAAATGTTAACCTTGCTCATCTCTGTGGGGTGGGATGGTGTTAGGTAGATTGAATAATTACATAAGATGCTGTTTGTCATAGCATCAATTTTACAAGCTTCAAAGAACTGCACTGCTCTCAGAATGCCACAATGTTACCCTTATAATCCTACTAGAACATCTGAGTGGCAAATGAGTGACCTAAGTGTCAGTTTGCAGCCTGAGCACAGGGGTGTGTGTGTGTGTGTGTGTGTGTGTGCGCGCGCGCGCTGACTCTGACACTCTCTCTTCCTAGGTGTCGCTGAAGTATTCCCTGGTAATTGTGCAAGGGCATCTGGTCTCAGAAGGGGTCCTTCTTTTTGGCCGCCAGCACTTCTACATCTGTGAGAACTTCACACTGTCCCCTGTGGGTGATGTCTACTGTAGCCGCCACTGCTTATCCAGGTAAGTCCTCCTTTTCTCCCTGAAGATTTTTCTCTGAGACCCACACTTGCTTTTCAGCTGCTCAAGTTCTTTCCTCTTTTGCCCTGGTCTTAAAGCTTCAGCTAAGGTTTAGGTTTTAGTCTGAAATGGGCCATGAGATAAAACTCAAAGCTAAATATGAGATATTTAATAAGATGACAACTCCTTGACCCTCATCTATCATGAAATGCATCACAGGATATTGAAGGTCATTCCTAAGGTGATTTGGGTATTGAATCAATTTGCCTCACCTATTTATGCCATAGTATTGATTGACAGTTTATATAAAGCAACAAGTACTTGTCTGCCATGAGACACAGATGCACTGGAAGGGTTCCTCAGGTGTGATCTGGACAAGTGACTGTGACTGATGTGGTGAGGGATGGTTACCTGAGGAAGAGGCCAAGACCTAGGTCTTAAAGAATGGGTGAGACTTTTACAGAAATACAAAGATTCATTTTCACACCACCACCTGTAGATAGTGACAGGAAATGATAATTTTCTCCTTCCAAACAAGCATGCTTGATCTATTTTATTTCAATCTGCCTTTGGTCAAGTGACATGTGTTCTTAAGTTATGTTGTTGTTGTTGTTATATGCCATCGAGTTGCTTGTGACTCATAACGACCCTATGTATAACAGCCTTAAACTCCACTCTGTCCTGTGCCAATTGCACCATCTCCAATACACCCATCCAAATTGCCCCAGTCTCTGAATCAATCCACCTCATAGAGGGCCTTCCCCTCCTGTACTGTCCCTTCACCCTACCAAGCATGATGTCCCTCTCCAAGGACCGGTCCCTCCTTACAACATATCCAAAGTATGCTAGACGGAACCTCAGAATCCTTGCCTCCAAGGAGCCACCCAGTTTAACCCATGGTACTCTCAATACTCTTCTCTAGTACCACAGCTCAAAGGCATCAATTCTCCTTCTATCCTCCTTAGTCATTGTCCAGCTCTCTGATGCATAACAAGTGATTGCAAAGACCATGGCCTGTACCACACACACCTTAGTCTCCAGAGAGACACCATTGCTATTCAGTACTCTGTAGAGGTCCCTAACAGAAGACTTTCCCATGGCAATATGTCTTTTAATTTCCTGGCTACTGGTGCCACGAATGTTGACTGTGGACCCAAGCAAACTAAGGCTGCGAACAATCTCAATCTCTTCACCATCCATCCTGATGCTGCCAATTGGCCCAGTGGTGAGAATCTTTGTCTTCTTGATATTAAGTTATACTCATTACAAATAAAATTGTCAGTCATCTGGCCTGGCAAGTCACCAGCTGGCTTACCTGCACAAGGACTGATCAAGAAAGGAGAATCTGCCTCACTCTCTATCTTGCATGTCTGGGTCCTTTAGTGTTATCGCTATAAAGAAAGTGGTTTGGCAGCTTAGGCTGAAAGCTGGGCTCAAACTCATGAAGGTTTTCCAGACAGTTGGATATTTAAAATGATTCTGTGTGCAGAATGCTCAACATGACCCCTGTTAGACTGGAGTATCTTCACATACAAATCCCTTTGTTGTTGTAATGTGCCCTATCCCTTGCGAATCTTATTGTCTCTGATACACCAACCCCCTTTACCCCAGTCACTGAATCAATCCATCTTATGCAGGGTCTTCCTCTCCTGCGCTATCCTTATACCTTCCCAAGAATGACACCCCTATCCAAGGACTGATTCCACCTTGCAAGATGTCCAAAGTATGTCAGATAAAGCTTTTAAAAAAATCCTTGCCTCCAAGGAGCAGCCTGCCTTCACCCTCTCGAGGATGAACTTGTTTGTTCTCTTAGTAGTCCTTGGTATATGCAATACTCTTCTCCAGCACCACAGCTCCCTAGTAGTTTCCCAGCTTTCTGATGCATAGCAAGTAATTGCAAAGACCATGGCCTGGATCAGGCACACTTTAGTCTCCAGACTGACATCGTTGCTCTTTAATTTTTGGAGAGGTTTCTGACAGCAGACTTTCCCATTGCAATTCATCTTTTAATTTCCTGACTGCTGGTACCAATAGTGTTGATTATAGATCCAAGCAAACTGAAGCTGTTAACAATCTCAGTCTCTTCACAATCTATCATGATGCTGCCAATCTTCCCAGTGATGAAAATCTTTCATGATGTTGAGCTTCATTTCATATTGAAGGCTGAAATCCTTGACCTTTTGCAGCAAGTGCTTCTGGTAAGCATTAAAATAAGATGGAAAGAGTATACAAAGTCATTGTACCAAAAGGAATTGGTTAACACAGAATAATTTAATGAAGCAATGTATGAGCAAGAGCCTGTGGTGATGAAGGAAGAAGTTCAAGCTGCTCTGAAAGAATTGGGGGAAAAAAGGCCCCAGAAATTGATGGCATACCAATTGACATATTTCAACAAACAGACGCTGCCCTGGATGTGCTCACCAAGTTGTGCCAAAAAGTCTGGAGGACAACCACCACCTGGCCAACTGACTGGAAGTGATCTATATTTGTTCCCATTCCAAAGAAAAGTGACCCAACAGAGTGCGGAAATTATCAAACAATATCATTGATATCACATACAAGCAAGATATTGCTGGTGATAATCCAAAAACAACTGAAACAGCACATCAACAGTGAACTGCCTGAAGTGCAGGCTGTGTTCAGAAGAGGCCGTGGTACTAGGGATATTATAATTAATGTCAGATGGATCTTGACTGAAAGCAGAGAGTACTGTATCTGTGTTTCATTGACTATGCAAAAACATTTGACTGTGATCTCAACAAACTGTGACTGAGTTTGAGAGGAATGGGAATCCCAGAACACTTGATTGTGCTATGTGAAACCTCTACTTGGACCAGGAGGCTGTTGTCGGAACAGAGCAAGGAAATATTGCAAAGTTATGAAGGGTGGACGTCAAGGATGTGTCCTATCTTCATATCTTTTCAACCTATATACAGAACAGATTATCCGGGTGGCTGGGCTCTATGAGGAGAAATGTGTCATTAGGATTGGAGGTAGACTCACCAAAAATCTGCATTATGAAGAGTGCATAACCCTGCTTGCTGACACTAAGGATGACAAATCCCTTTAGATCCCAGAAAGTCTGTTCATTTTTGTAATTAAATGAATCTTTCAAAGGTTTCCTAAATCACTCTTAAGAACCAGTAACTATTCAAAGGAGAGTTAAATAGGAAGCCTGTACAAAAGCTTATCCCTACAGCACATATGCCATACTATTCAGATTTCTACTTTTGCCAGTTCTTAACACCCACCTCTCTGAATTTTCATGAGTTTATATTTCACAAAGGTGGTAATTATTTTATGTACACCAGTAGCCATATGTAACAAAGTATTTAGTATTTTTAAAAATATTGTCTTTTCCCTTTTACTAGAAGAGAAGCTATCAGGTTGTATATTTTTCATTTTAATATGCATTTCAACAACAACAACAATTGAAGGTTTCTTTATTCAGAAATGAACCTTGACGTTTCTGTTAAGAAGGTTGAATGAAGAGAAGGGGCCATCCTCACCAAGGGACTTTGACACTAACTTCTGTCAGAATCCCCTGCATGGACTGTTAAAACATGGATTTTGGGAAGACAGCCCCCTGGGCTGGGAATCAAGATATTTAGCTGATTTACAGCTAATGCTGAAGCTACCAGTGTGGCCATACTGTGAGAATCACTGTTTTAGATCATCTAAGAGAGGAACCAAAGTCTTAAGAATTTTGGTTCCTAAAATTTCCAACCTGTAAGGGAGTGAGAGTTGAAGGAGTAAGGGAAGGCAGATATCAGTTCCTATTTTCTTATATTTGGATTTGTTTTACAATACTGAGTATTTTTCTTTCTGCTAATTTCTATCTTTTATTCATTTAAATATTCATTAGTTGCTGGGCATTTTCTGTACTTTTCCAATGCAGGAGGAGCATAATTAATATTTGGCACACTTATTCCATCTTATTGCTCATGTTTTATTGATATTGATCAATAAGAACAACGGGTATGCAGGCTTGCCTTTCTGAGTGAGGATAAAAGCTTTGTATTCTTTGTATTCTAGATGTATGGTATGCCTGTGTGATGACTTGAATAACCTATTCCTTCACTCTTTACTTCTGGTTTATATCGAGTTAGTGTTAGATAAAATATTATTGTGGGAGGCCAATCCTTCTTCCTAGTCTGTCTTAATCTGAATGTTCAGACTTAGAGGAGTATCTGATAGGCAAGCAATTTGCGGAGCAGCGAAAGATAAATCCCTTATTGTGGAGTTAAGAATTAGTTACAGTGTTGACCCCACCCTTAGCCCAGTGCCTTGACCCACTTACTTCACAGCTCCACCCTCCACCAGGATAACCGTTCACATCTGCCAAGTCCCTTCAGAAAATATCTTCCATTGTCCAACCCATGATCTGACAGCTTGTATCTGAAGCTTTCTTGGCTTCTGTGATTCCAAACATGTCAACTGCTGACATTTTTTTTTTTCTTTTGACCAGTGTCTCTTAAGTTTAGTTGTA